GTATGTGTGAGTGTTTGATCACAGAGTATAAAAGGAGAAATTTGTTTTGCATTTCATTTCAGAACACATTAATCTTTAATACGCCATGGTCCTGCTTGTGAAAAATCAATGTTCAAAAGAACTCCCCTCTTCAAAGCTTCATAGAGGACTGTTACTCTCAAATACTAATGCATATTAATACATCTGAATTTGTACAGTACATTGCAACTCTGAGCACCCTCCCTCTTGGTTTCCCATTCCTTTACAGGCTAGACAATGCCTGGGTCACTATAAATTCTAGAAAATTAAAGTAAAAATAACAGACTACTTGTTGCAGCTTTCCAATCCCAAACAGAGTGCATTAAATAACTGCAAGACAGTGTGTCACAGTCTGTTCATAATCTAGATTGGGTCCCATCACGCAATTCAAGTACAGCCCTAGCAGGGATGGACATTGCAGGCCCGTATCTCCTTTCGGTTTTTACAGCTAGTAAGTTGTGCATTCTTGTATCTCTTCTTGGCAGTCATTAAACGCTCCTGGATTCCCCCACCACACAGCTTGGTACAGTCAGTCCATGCAGACCATGGCTTCATTTTGCATCCTGCAGGAAGAAAATAGACCAGATACAACTGTTGATGATCAAATAATCATCTGCCTTTTTATTTAGAGACACTGTCTGTAGTGGTTATGATATTATGAATTAGTAAAGGAGAGATTCTGTGTCATCTGTAGTGGCAATGTTATTAAACAGAATTACTTTAACAGAATTATAGCATCTGCAGTGGAGATGTTGATTCTGATTTGCCATCGGAAAGAGTGTTGGCATCAGTAGTGCTGTGATGCTATGATGCATAATTACAAATTAAATGACATGTTGTAATGATACGTTTAATTTAATGGTATGAGTCTGATGGACTAAAAAAGAGCTAGCTATGATGGTATTATGTTGATGTACTAAAAAAAAAAGCCCCAGTATCCACAGTGTCAGTATTATTGATGTTATAATGCTAATTTATTAAAATATATTGTCAGTGTCTTCAGTGGTAATGTTATGATGCTTATTTGACATATGTATAAGTGATAACATGATACTGATTTTCTAAGGTCAGTATCTCTAGGGGTGATGTGATGATGCAGAATTACTAATGGTAAATGTCAGCAGTAGAGCCATGCATATCAGCCTGGCCTGACGGGCCCTGACTTATTTACGCCCTTGGGCAGGGCTTCAGGCTAATATTCACATCATAGCTCAGACCTGAGCCGGGCATCAGGCCTGTTTTAGGCTTCTCATTATTTTTATATTTTAGACATCCATCAATTATGGTGACGAAAAAAAAATTCTACCGCAACTGTCAAGAGCGGCTCGGACGGTGTTTAGTGACCCGCCAGCAGCAGCAGCGAGCGTGCCTTCAGCCCAGCTGGAAGAACTCTGCATGCAAGTGCGCGCAATAGGCTAAAGCTTGCTGCAAAGCCCCAGCAAAAGTAATTACCATGAATGTGTCAGGGGGAAATAGTAAGGAGATATTTGAATTATTTATTAATAAACTAGTGATTTCTGAGCCAGTGTCGCAAAGATGAAGTTGACGATCCTGACTCACCATCTCCTCATTGGCCACGCCTTTAGAGAGAAATGCATCTTTACGAATTACACAATGAAAGAGTTTTTGTTTTCGATTTGAATTATTTTGTTTTAAAGTAATAATTCAAAGCTTTCTATAGATATATTTGTCATGTATGTGCAGCACACTTTTATCTAGGTTAAACATTTAAGTCATGTTTTATTAACAAATTTTGGGAGGAACACGCGCAGATAATTAACATCCATCATCAGTAATTACACCATCTATCCAACCAGCACAAGAGAGAACCCCTATAAATAATCAAAGCAGTCTTACCTTCACTATCTCAAGTCTTTCAGCATTTGGTTCACTCCTTTTGCCATTTAACACAGACCCAATTTCCCGTTCAACGAAGAGACCTATACTGGGGATTTTTCAGATCCTCCGCCGCAATTTGCCGGCCCCATGATCACTCCTTCCAGACACGGCCGCCGAGCACCAGGCTTAATCGCGGCCGCTGCTCTTCTCGGCCATCCACACACTCTCCACGACGCCGATGCTTAACCTCGCCTCCACTGGCGAGACTTCCAACTTCCCCGGCATCCTCGTATCATTCGGCCGTACCAGTAATTCCTCCGATCGGAAAGTGGACAGTATTTAAGACCGAGGCAAACGCTGATTAATTCCAATGCACCGTTCTCGCGGAGGGTAAACAAAGCAGATCTGTACGATCTATTAGTCAACCTGCAAATTAGCCAACCTCATTCCTAAATCCACTCCAGCCGCCAAGGCGGCCAATAGACCGTGCAAAGCCCCGAGCTCGCCTCGCTCGACACCGCCATCGTCCCGCACAAGACCCGGCTCTCCTCGAGCGCTGGGTCACAGCAGCAGCAGGCCTTCAACGAGCCTGGGCCGCGTCCCAGTTCTCATCGCAGAAAAGCCTCACTCGCTTACCGCTTCGGCTCAGCCTTTCACCGCGGCTCTTCCGGTGGCAGCACCGTATGCAGTCGGGCCTCCAGCTCTCGTAGCAGACGCTAGCTTGAAGCTGCCTCCGCTAGTGGCGCAGGCCATGTCGCAAATTAATACATTTTCAGGTGAAGTCGGCTAAATTTTGTTAAACGACGTTATGACATAAACGGATGTTGATGCCATTTTGTAACCATGAAGCAAACAAGGCATTTTTTTTTTCCAACGTTTATCATCCACACTGAAATGTCTGAAAGCGTTACATTCGCCTTACTGTGCATGCATAAAACCTCACTGAGATGATACAGATGGAACAGACATAATAAGTTTCACGCAATTCTTCTGGCAGGATCAATTCATTTACGGAAATATTTCACCATTCACTGGCGCGCTCACTCAGAATGGATCTAAATCGCAACTGCCCTCGTGTTTTGCCGCAGGACAGCAATCGTGAGTACATTTTCCGTCGTCTTTTTAGGACTGTGATATGAAGAGTGTGCACAGTAAATATATTTAGCAACAGTGTGAAAGTGAATAGCACTTAACTGCAAAATTAACGTTACCTGTAAGGCCTAGAAACATGTCTACAATATGGGTCACATGACTAAACATGCGTCATGCGTCATCAAAATGAGAGGAAAAGATGAGTTTTCAACGGAAACGTATTAACGTGGACAAGGCTTGAGGAATTGCCGAATCTAGCAACAAATTGCTAAGTTGGCAACACTGCCCAGGCATTTCAGCTTGTCCCGCTAAATGTCACTAACCCTTCCACTTTCCCGCGGCCTACAGCTACAGCAGCCGAAGCAAGCATGAAGCTGCTTCCGCTTGCAACACAGGCCCTCACATCTCAGAATTTCCGTCCTGTTACTTCTAATCCCCTTTTTACCTTTCAGCGGGTACCTTGCTAACTTAGCAACCTGCCTCCGCTAGCAGTGCAGGCTGCACAGGGTCTTCAGGACTCCCTTCCCGTGGCCTACAGCTACAGCAGGTGAAGCAAGCGCGAAGCTGCTTCCACTTGCAACACAGGCCCTCACATCTCAGACTATCCTCCTGCTACTTCTTACCCCTTTTTTCCTTCTCAGTTGCCTCCAGCTCCCGTAGCAGATGCTAGTGTGAGCACGCCTCCGCTAGTGTTGCAGACCCATCCACAGCCCTTTCATTTTCAACCTCCAATCACCCATACTACCATACCAAGCTCTCCTAGCCTTCATCCAGCTCAGGAAATCACAGTCCAAACTCCCATCCGACCCCCTTTTTACAGACGACTCCAACCACCCCGTCACTTGTTTCTGGTTTCAAAGGCACCCCTTAAGTCCGTTTTGCTCCTATCCGGTACCCCAGCTGATAACTTTTCCAGCCATTCATTCCGAATTGGCGCGGCAACCACAGCGGCCCAAAAAAGGCCTCTCCCAGCAGCAGATACAAGCACTCGGTCGCTGGTCGTCAGAAGCTTTCGATCGGACCGCTCCCACAACAAGGAAGCCCACTCTAGCCAAACCCTCATCGGCCAACCCCTTTAACGTCAGTACAGCCCTGTTCACTCAAACTTCAGACCCACCATAGCTAACCCCGTATTAGCATCACCTAATCCATCTATAATGGCCCATCCCCACTCCAGCCATCCCAGCAGCACCCCGCTCCCTCAGGTGCCTTACCTAATTCCCACTCTGCCGCAGCAGTCCACGCTCCAGCAGGAGCTCTTCCATATTTCCCCACTGCCGCAGCAGTCCCCGCTCCCGCAGGAGCTTTTCCATATTTCCCCACTGTCGCAGCAGTCCCCGCTCCTGCAGGAGACTTTTCCCTATTTTCCCCACTGCCGCAGCAGTGCCCGCTCCCACAGAAACCTTTTTTCCGTTTTTCCCCACTGCAGCAGCAGTCCCCGCTCCCGCAGGAGCTCTTCCATATTTCCCCACTGCCACACTGTCGAAGCAGTTCCCGCTCCCGCAGGAGCCTTTGTCTGTATTTTACACTGCAGCAGCATTGCTCGCTTCCGCAGAAGCCACTTTCTCTTTTCAGATGCTGTAGCAGTTCCCACTCCCACAGCAGTTTTCTTTTCAGATGCCGCAGCAGCGCCCGCTTCCGCAGAAGCCTCTAGTTCTCTCTTCTAAAGCCTCAGCAGTGCCGCTACTACAAGCGACGTCCAGCACCCCACCAATCTTAAGCTTTGCAAATTTTGGGGGGTTATCAACGCTCCTCTCTGGCTGCTGTCCCGTACTAATTGCATCTTTGGGTGAGCGCTCCGGGTCTGGGCTAAAAACCGAGCTCGGACCCCTCTCCCCGGACAGGGGGAGTACCCTTGGGGGGTTATCAACGCTCCTCTCTGGCTGCTGTCCCGTACTAATTGCATCTTTGGGGGAGCGCTCTGGGTCCGGGCTAAAAACCGAGCTCAGACCCCTCTCCCCGGACAGGGGAAGTACCCCGGGCTCGAGAGTGAATACCGAGCTCGGAGCCCTCTCCCCGGACAGCACGCCAAATACGCAAAGCAGTCTTACCTTCACTATCTCTAGTCTTTCAGCATCCCTCCACCACCCCAACTCTTCACCTTCAGCCCGTTCCTACCCCAGCACGGGGAGGAGCACTTGGGGGGAGCGCTCTGGGTCCGGGCTAAAAACCGAGCTTAGACCCCTCTCCCCGGACAGGGGGAGTACCCCGGGCTCAAGAGTGAATACCGAGCTCGGAGCCCTCTCCCCGGACAGCACGCCAAATACGCATAACCTTTACTCAGTTTATTATATGTAAGTGTGAACTCGTGAAACTAACATTGTGATATATGCTTGAAGTGTTTTATATCTATAGATTTTATGAAGTCGTGATGATTTGAGAAGACTAAATTGATCAAACATAGGCTATGATCAACTCACTGTCTGCCGCTGGCCGCTTGGTCGTTACTTTAAAAAACAAAAACTTACATATAACGAACAAAAAACATGCTCCAAACGTTTTTTTTTCCTAAATTAACTTGATGAAAAATTAAATGAAAAATTATCACTTTACCATTACATACAAAACTGAACTATTTTAATAGTTGAAACAGTAGTATAAGCTGTTTTGGCATAAAGGGAAAAAAAGACAGGCTCGGGTTGGACTCGGGTTGGTAGTGATGGTAGGACTGGTAGGATCCCTGAGGACCCCTGAGCGTCTCGGGCCAGGGCAGGGCTAGGGCCTATATTTGAGGCCCGTGCATGGCTCTAGTCAGCAGCAATGTCATGCTGGCTTGCTAAAAAAAACATTGTCATTTAATGTTATTATTTAAGGGAAATTCCACCCAAAAATGAAAATGTTGTCATCATTTAACCCTCATGCCATTCCAGATGTATATGATGTTAATAAAATGAAGAACATGTATTGTTTTACACACAATTTATCAAATCTGTCCTTTCCTTTTCTATTGTGGAAATAAATTTTTCATAATTATGTTCTTAACAGAGTTCAAGTTATTCTTTGTACTGTTGACTGTTGATTTCCAGGGTGTTTTAGAGTGCCTATAAGCAAGAAAGATTCATGTGAAGCTATAGAATTGTTCTGGCCTGGAGAAAAGACTGTACTTAGTGTAATTTTTACTTCTATTTTTATGTGTGTTTTTTAACATTTTATTGTTTAATGATAACATTTTATGTATGTTATAGTTATAAGTACATGGATGTGGTTAGTGTTCTGGCATCTTGCTGCAATCTTATATTCCCTAAACAGGACATCAAAGCTGAGTCTGAGTCAGTCTGTCTTCTGAGATTTTTAGAAAAATAAGCACTATGTCTGAGTTCTAATAACATTAAAATGGACTCACATAGATTATTACTAATATTTTTAAATGTAATTGTTTCACAACACGCTTCACAACATGCTGACGTTCACAGCATGCTGACAGTTGGAAGTGATTATTGGTTAAGTTAAGTTAAAAAGTTAAAAGTATTAGCCTTTTTTTCTCATGCACATGTATAGTTTTCCTTAAAAAGACATTGATTTATCAACTGTGATCATATATATTACAGTTGTGTTCATTTTGAATGTTTTAAAGCAACAATTTTAAGGCAGTTGCATTATATGGACACACAGACACAGATTATTTTTTCTAAAAATCCATGTTTATGTTCTGTATGCACAGAAGAACGAAAGCCACACACATCTGGGATGGCATGAGTAAGTAAATGATGAGAGAATTTACATTTTTGGGTGGATTATTCCTTTAACAGTGACGCTTGCATGTTCACCTGCGAGCTCATCAGCACTCTCCTCCCTTCCCTGTTTGTTCCTCCTCTTCTTACGGTCTTCCTTGCGCCTCTTCCTTTCATCACTGTTTATGCCTCCTTGATTACATTTCTTGATCTTGCATCTTTTTCTCTGTGTGGTCTCAGGGCACGGATCCCCACCAAACTGAGGCTCCAGAGTGATCATGCGTGTGCGGATCAAGTGACCCTTCCCACAGGATTTACTGCACTCTGACCACTCGGACCACTCTGACATCACACAATCCATCGCTAGAGAGAAAGACATCAAAAGAGACAATATTCAAAAAGAGAAATATGACAACATAGGCCTATCTCAGGGAAAATATAATTATTTAAGAAAGGATGTTTAATATTTAGCATTTTTTTTCTATATTTTGTTTATTAGGTGCCCCTGGTTCACATCACAGCTGTCTATCTTTCCAATGTATTTCTGATAAAACATATTTCAATCATGACAACTCTCTGAATAGTTTTATATGTTAAAGTATTTGGTCTTGGCATACTAGATCTGCCATGTACGCTGCTGCAGAGCAAGTATGGACTTGCTACCGCCAGTAGATACACAGACACACTGCTGTGAGCATGTAAAATGTGCTGCTGCTGCATGAATAGACATACATAAATCTAATAGTAGATTTAGACAGGTGGATCTGGGGAAGAGGAGGGTTTCAGAGAACTTCTAATAGTGCGTTGCAGGACCAGTTTACAGTGAATACTGAACCAGATTATTTAAATGTTGAGCAAGCAATCTCATTGGCTTCAGACCATTCAGCTTCTGTCATGTGGTGAACAATATGATCGCTGGCAAATTGCATTTAAAGAACCTATCTGCCTGTGCCATCCATATTTAATGACTCAACTAGAAATGTAACTTTCATTTAAATGTTCATGTTATTTTTAATTAATTAAATTAAGCCTTTGTCAAGACAATTATGGAAATAACGAGTCTCTAAAATACATAAAAAGGAAATCTGCCACAAGAGGTATTAATTTGTAATAGAAATGTATTTCTTAAAAGAAACCAAGGCTTCATTATTTCATTGAAATGTACAGTACTAAGTAAAATAATTGTATGTTTGAATAATAACAGTGATATAATATGTGTTTGCATATAATAAGGGCTTTTCATTGCAATTATACAACAGTTCAATAATCAAGAAGTTGATTGTGTAACTCAGAAATCTTCAGTTCTGTTCCTTGAGCTACACACTTGAGATGTCCCAACTTGCATATTATATGCACTAAATAGTATCAGAGCTTAGAATTAGAGTGTCTCAAATCATAGCAAGTTGAAATGAGTATCCTACAGTTACTCAGATGGTCTGATATTTCAAAGGGTGGGGCTGGCCAACTTGTTATCACAATGTATCAAGGTCAGACTTTAACTCTACTTCTCCTGGACCCACTCTCACAATTAGGACTGACTAACACACATGGACACACACAGACACACACTGTGTATCTGTTATGTGTGAGAGCTGTTAACTGTTATGTTTGTGTGTGTGTGTGTGTGTGTGTGTGTAATAGAGAAAGAGCATGTGTAACTCACGGCACTCTGGCAGCATGCATTTCTCCATCTGTTCCAGCTCCTCGTTGCATTCTCCCAACTCTGCAGGTGATTTGAGCATACGCTGACGCATCCGTGTGCCTTTACCACACGTCACACTGCAATCGCTCCAGTCCGACCAGGGGGACAGTAAACACGGGATTGTATCTATACACACAAAAAACTCAGCATCATAACACTGAGAACGGCAGGCATGTGGGTGTTTATTCTGTATAAATATGCTAATGTGGGCTTGTATGTGAGAATATGTTAATGTAGACTGTGAATATAATATTGGCATGCATGGAAATGTGTGTGTGAACAATGTAATGTGAGTGTATGTGCATGTATTTTATAATAATATGCACTAATTATTTCTTATGTTACGTGTATTAATAGGTTAATATGGGTGTGAATATGTTTGTGAGTGTATTTTTGTGAGTTATGTATTTGAATATGTTAAAGTGGGGTAATGTGTTCGCTACGTGTGTTCTGGGTATACATATGAATATGTGAATATGTAATTGTGGAGATGTTAATGTGACCCAAACATTCACAGACATGTACTGTGTGGGAATATGTTAATGTGCATGTGTGTTAATATGGTAAATTTAGCATACATGGCTGTGCATATATTAATATGGGCATGCATGTGAGTGTTTGCACTCACGGCATTCTGGCATCATACACTTCTCCACTTCCACCACCTCTGCCCCACAAATGGAGCCATCAGACGGGGGCATTTTCACCATCCGCTCCCGTCTTTTCATGCCAAGCCCACAGGTGGCGCTGCATACATCCCATTCACCCCATTCAGTAATCAAGCAACTGCTTGGAGCTACACGCAGAAACATATACAGTACATATGATTGGAACACAGAATTCTGTTTGAAGATAATCTGTGTCAAAAAACAACTTTTAGTCTTTTATTAAAATATAAAGTAAGGATTTGACTGGCTAGTTTTTATTTTATTCAATTCAAGCAACATAAACAATACATAAAAACAGCCATAAAACATTTAGATGAATGAGGATGTTAGCAGGAAACCCAGTACAGTATATTATGTACAGGAACTTTAGGTACACGGAAATTATATCAACATTTACTTCCTGCACAATTGGCAACTGTCAAAAATGTGATTAAATCGTGATGAAACAATAAAATTACGACTGTAAACATCTGTTATATTTTAATGCATTTGGCTTGTTATGAGTCCACAGGTAAATAATACTCACAGCAGTCCTCATTGACAGTGCATGGCTCTGTCTCTTCAGTGGGATGAGTGCAAGCAAAGCCATCATCAGGAAACTGTTTTACATAGCGCTCCCTAGAACGCACACCTGCGCCACATGACATACTGCATGGTGACCATGTGATCCATTCCGACATCATGCACGTGGAAGCGTCTGTAAAAGTCAAAGTTCACTTTGTTATTCATGTCCTTGTTCAAAAACCTTTTAACATTCAACCACCTGCCCTGCTAGAAAATACAGATAAAATTAGCTTAAGTTGATAGATGTTTTGGAACAGTGGTTCCCAACCATGTTACTGAGGGGGCTCCAGGAACATGGTTTGGAATCACTGTTTTGGAACATGGAAGCTGGTTTCCAGGGCCTGGCAGAGACATCTTGGTCAAGGGGCACTACTAGAACAATCACATCATAATAGTGGGCAAAACATTTTTTTGAACACGGTAGCTGGTTTCTAGCTGGTCCAAGCTGATTTAGGTAATTATGGAGCCTGGCACAGCTGGTAGAATGTTTTAGTCAAGAGCCCCACTAGAACAATCACATCATCATATCACTGAACATGGTAGCTAGTTTATTAAGGGCCAATCACGGTTTTAAAATACAGATACCACCTTGAAAATTTACCAACAGTACATGGGAACTTTCTATTTTTTTCCTTTAATCAATTTAGCTTTTCTAAACTGTTTTAAATGTCCTACTATGCATTCATGAAAAATGCCTACTCTACTCTAAAGCTTAATTAAGAACATTAACCTGTTCTGCAGGCAATAATATACAATGCCACCATGAATTGCTAATATTACTTAATCAGTTATAGTCAGATGGGCAAGATGAAAATGTTATGGTGCAAAACCTGGACTTCCCTCTTCTCTCAAATTACTGGCATTTGTCCTGCTTGATAAAATGTGGCTTATTGAATCATTAATAAAACTGTGAGTAAATATGACATCCTGAAGGCCATCTCTATATCATCTCCATTACATGATAATCAATTGATAATGGATATTAACACTTCATTAAACACTAAAGAAAAACCCACCCACTAATGTGTGATTTGCGTTAAACTGCCTGTTTCATTCAAAGTATTAAAGGGACATCTTAATTCATATCTAACTTTATTTATTTTAATTCTTAAAGGTGCTAAAGCATTATAAAACAGCTCCTTATTTTATTCACTATGTTACTCATTACCTTATACACATGCATGCTTGCTCATCCTATGCATCAACATTTTGTTCTATTAGCAATAATAGAAATGAGCTATGCATTTTTAGCGATTTCCAGTCTAGCAACAAAAACTATGCAGAAGCTGCTTTGACCTTTTAATGTCTCCAAGTCAAAATCAATAGTACTGCCCGTATAGAAGTAAGATGCAACCTTACCCAAGAATGATGCAAAGATTCTGTCACCTGATAAAAATGTCTAGTTAGCATTGCTTTAGGGCATTTTTAAAATGTTCAAGGCAGGGTGCCCCAATATGTCTGATCAATAAATATCTTGGTGTGCACAGAAATGGTGAGTAAAGGTTAGCTCACCATAAAATTATATTCTGTCACGGTTTGACTGATAAATTTTGTCCTTGCAGGCTGTTAGGTTAAATTCTTAGACCAGTTATAAACAGCATAAGCTGATCAATGTATGGAAAGAAAGAAAGAAAGAAAGAAAGAAAGAAAGAAAGAAAGAAAGAAAGAAAGACAAACAATGAATCAATCAATCAATCAATGTATCAATCAATCTGCTACAGGGAAAACTGTAGAAATAAAATAAAATAAAATAAAAAACAAAACAAAATAATAAAATAAAATCTACCTCATAAGAACCAAACTTATATCCTTTATAGTCTTGGCAATCCCAGAATGTATTACTGCAATAAACTTGAAATAAATAAATATGTGAAAACAAGTGTTTCAAAATGAGAGAAATGCTGATTATTTTTCCTTCACTACAATAAAATATCTTTAAAAAAAAAAGTTAATTATGTTATAATACCTCACGCCCCCATGACTGCTATTTTTATATTGTAACTTTACAGACTATATTCTACAAACAAATTTGGATATCATTAGGTAACTCAGTTTCATCACCTGTAGGTACCCAAAAAATTGGAGCTGGTGTCAAAAAAAATAAAATAAAATAAAAAAAACTGCTTATAATACATATTTTATTTTATTTTTATTTATTTATTTATTTTTAACAATTGTGGAGTTATTGATATCGTTGTTCTTGACATTGGCCATGAACTCTAACCAGAGCCATGAAAGTCTCATGAAAATAGTCTAATATTTTAAAAAGTTATAAGCATTTTTATGAATTCCATTACATTTTCTGACCATAAGGTGGCATCAGCCCCATGTGAGAGATGCTTTAAATAAATAAACAAACAAACAAGACAGGATATAGTAAAGACATCTATTTGATGTGTATAGACCAACATAAAAGAATAGCGCTTCCAGAATGCAAGAACAAATTTTGTTTTTTAAACCAAAATCAAGTAATATTATTTTGAAGTCTGACAAAAGACCTATAGACCCCTGCATTCTTGTCTATGCATCCTATCCAGCTGTTTTTGAATACAAGAATACTTCCTGTGTGGAAGGCCTCTTAGTAGGCAGTTGTTTCAGTACATTTTTGAACAGAGATAATATCAATATGATTGACAATAACTCCCATGTTCCTTTCCATATGGGGACTAAAATCCTGATTTTGTGTGTGTTTGATTCTGACCCTCATCACTGCAGCCGGGCCCCATGCAGGGCTCAAAGTCTTGAGTATGTGGACAGGGCACACTGAGATCCAGCTGTGCCTTCAGCATCCTCTGCCTCATCCTCTTCCCCTTCTCACATGTCGAGGAGCTGCACGCAGACCACGGAGACCAGTTGGAGTAGATACATGTCTCTGGAGTGTCATCTGACAAAACAGAAAAGAAAAAGAAGTGGGAGGATGAAAAGTCTCATAATATTAACATTTTTGTCTGTAAGCATTATGGAATCTCATAAAGGGAGTGCCCATAAGATCGTTTTTGTTGTTGTTTCAAATAAACATTGGTGAGATTAAAAGGAGAGCAAAGAGCAACTTTTGCTTAAACTTTTGCTTTAAAAGAAATGCCAAAAAAATGTGCTCAAAGAGATGTACTTCAATATAAACTCTTTTACATTAAATTCTCCCAAGACCATATAATCTGACATAACCTAGAAACATAATGAGCTCTGCTTCAACATATGATGTTGTTGATAGCCACAAAAAGATGTTGCATTTCATAGGTCATTCAGCACTGCATCAGTACTATGCTATGGTCACACTCTCTTCATGGCATGTGAATATCATGGCAGGCACTCAGTCGAGTGAACCTATTAAAGGGAACGTTTCGGTTACGTATGTAACCCTGGTTCCCTGTGTAGGGAATGAAATACTGCATAATTCTGCCATACCATTTTGTTACTGTTACAACTTCTGTACTGTTACAGCTTATTTTGTAGAAATCTGAGGAGTGATGGCAAAAGTGCATCCTTTGAGGCACTGGTGTAATGGTGCCTCGGAGGATGCCATTAGCACCATCAGCCAATGAATCTGCATGATTCTATTCTGGCTACAGACAATCGTCACACCTGGAGGGTGCTCAAATAGAATATCATGATTCCAATTCAACATAAAATGTAAATCCCTAATGTAATCTCTCTCTAATCTGAAAGGAAACAAGTATTATTGTGCTTATTGCTTATTTCTCTGAAGGGATTTTGTAAGAAACATCAGAGACCAAGCTGAGATTTCAATAAAAGATAACTGAGAATTTCATTAAGTCTCATGAGCTATGAAAGTTTCTACTGAGTTCACCTCAACTGTTCTGTCATACAATGGGATTCTTCATCTAACATCTTCTGGAAGAACCTGAAGACCAACAATTGGAAACTAGTAAGATTAAATTAAATGCACATTAAAATTAAATGCACAGTCTCGGAATTAATCAGTTATTGTTTCGATGAAATAATGGAGTTTAAAATTTTCTAATGAACACCTGAGACAAAGCTGTTACTTAATGAAAATATACAGTAATTTATGTTCTCATGTTTTATATAAGTCTCCCGAGCCTAGCGTAACCTCTCAAGAATACAGTTTAGTCTTGGTTGGACTGGAGGAGTTTAGGATATTGAATAGTTAAAAGTCTCATTCTCTCTCTCTCTCTCTCTCTCTCTCTCTCTCTCTCTCTCTCTCTCTCACTT